ACAGAGAAACCCTGTCTCGAAAAACCAAAAAAAAAAAAAAAAAAAAAAAAAAAACAAAAACAAAGAGCCCATTAGTTGGTTCCACTATTAGAAATTTCAAGCATGCTACTTCACCTCTGAAAATCATTTTATTTCCTATTTTGGACCAAGTATTTACATACCAAAATTTTCTTTTAACCATTTATAAGCAATGTCAGATATCTGAAGTAGTAATATCTGAAATTGGCCTATACCTGAATTTGGACTGAGTACTGTTGGACTGATGTGTAAGAACATGTCTCTTAGTCATGTTTCACATGTCAAGTCAGAGGTTACCAACTTTCTCTGAAAAGAACAAAGCAGGCTTTGTGGAGTATATAGTATTCTGCCTCAATGACTCCTACTCTGCTACTATAATGTAAAAACTAATGTAGACAGTATATATAAGTGAACAACTGTATTCCAATAAAACTTTATCTGTAGACACAGAATTTGCATCCCATGTGGTTTTCATGTTATAAGGTTTTTCCCATAATATGAAACCAATCTTACCAACTTGTAAAATAATAAGAGGCAGAAGAATTATTTTTGTTTTGTTTTGAGACCAGGTCTCAGGGTCCAAAGCTAGCTTCAAGTACACATGTGACAAAGGATGACCCTAATACCACACCCAGTTTTGGGTAGGGCTGGGGACTGAACTCAGGGCTTTGCAAACTAGGCAAACTCTCTACCAACAAAGCTGGCTGGGAACTTGCTCTATAACCTATGCTGGCCTGAAACTTCCAGTCTTTCTCCCTCCCCACCAGTTGTGGTTAGCTTCGTCAACTCAGCATGCACTACAGCCATCGGGGAAGAGGGAACCTCAATTGAAAAAATGCCTCCATCAGATTGAAAGTCTATGCGGCATTTTTTTGATTAATGATTGATGTGGGGTGGCCAGGAAAGTATTAAACCTGTGCAGGTGATCCTAGGTGAAACATAAAAACAAACAGAGCAAGCCCTGGGAAGCATGCTAGCAGAGAGAAAGCTCTCTGCTTCAGTTCCTGCCTCCAGGTTCCTGCCTTGAGTTCCTGCTCCTCACTTCACTTCAGGATGGACTACAACTGTGAAATTAACTCTTTCCTTCCTATATTGCTTTTGGTCATGTTTATCACAGCAATAGAAAGTTAACCAGGAAATCTGCTGCAGAAGTGATTTTTATAAAGGTGCAAGAGCAGTTCAAGGGAAAAACAATAAACTTTCAACTAAAGGTGTTACAGTGACTGTTTATCTAGAGTACACCACCCTTTCAAAGAAAGAACCACATGTTCTCACACCTGTATGAAATTAATTCAAATAGACAACAGATTTAAACACAAAAATAAAGCTTCTAAAGGGAGAGTAGCACCCAAAAATGATTCATTAAAGAAAAGTCAATAAAACGTTGCTGATTTTGCAGTGTGAAACATCTTGTTAAAACAAGGGAAAGGCAAGCAATGGAATAATTTGCAAATCAAACAGTAGATAAAGAAATTGTACTTGTAATATACAAATAATTCTCAATAAAGAATTCTTAAGGTATTTTTAAACAAAAGTGGACTAGAAAAGTGGCACAAAAAAAACCACCAACAAATTTTACTGATGAGGCACAATAAATGACAAAAAAAATTGGTTAATATCACTATCATGATACCATAATAAAATAATCCCCTCACAACTACTGAAACTGTTAAAATAAAAATGGTTACAACATCAGACAAGGATGTAAAAAAAAAAAAGAACTATAAGTCACTAATGAAAATGTAAAGAGTACACTCAAGAAACCTGTATGGCAACATGATAAAATAAATAATAAATAAACAAACAATGCATAAATATATATATAAACATCTACGTTCCTCAAAGAAATAAAAATTTGCTTCTGAATGGAAAAAACCATGAGTGGGAAACTTTATTTCTAATAGATCCAAACTAGATACCAAAATGTTCTTAAATCCAAGAATCATCGTATATCATTGTTGAGATACTACCCAGTATTGAAAAAGCGAGAGCCACTGACACATACCACATGAGTGATCTCAGAGATACCATGCTGAGTTTAATAAGCTAGCTTCAAAAAGACCAAGTATATCATATCCTCAAATGACAAAATTATAAAGATACAGAACAGACAAATGGCTGCTATTGGCTAGAAACAGTAGGAGGGTAGGGAGACACTGCCTAATGCTAGAGAGGGAAAGTACATGAGACATCTCTCTAGAGTTTTGTGCCTTGTTTACAGGGGTAATTAAACTAATCTACTTATGAGAAAATGACACAGAACCACACACACACACACACACACACACACACATACATTTTACCAAAGTCAATTTCCTGATGTTGGTATTATACAATAGTTATATAAGAAACAACCACGAAGTAAACTAGAAAAGAAAAAGAACTTCTCTGTGGTATTTTTTTTGCAATTTCTTGTGAATATATAATTATTTCAAAGTAAACTGAAAATTCCTAAAAATCTTTTGCATAAGCAAAAGGATCAGATTCCTCTGTAAACAATAATCTACATTCATTAATAGAGCTGTTAACAGGACCAAGCATAGCAAAAAAAAAAACCAGTTTTAACTGCCTACCATGAGCTAAGCACTATTTTAAGTGCTTTCCATACACTGCCCCCACTTATCCCTGTAAGACCCCATGAATGAAATACCCAACCCCATTTTACAAACAGGAAAACTGGGGTTAAAGAGAGATTAATCTGATGCTGATCACACAGTAAATACTAGAACCAAAATTTATTTCCAGAGCCATGCCTCCTGAACCTGAGGGTAACAAAAATGAACATACTTATTTTTCACAAGTGTTGATCCATCTATGCAAAAGGCTTGTACTAAACAATGTTAAGTCAGTTTGCTTTCTGCACAAGCTTCAGAACTCTTAAAATGCCAGTGCATTTCAGGTATCTAGATCACTACAATACAGGGTTCCTCAAATACAACTGACCAGAGGGTACTATTTCCCCTAGAATATACATAGTTTGAATATGTAATTCAATTATCTCTACACCAGAAAAGAATAGTACTCAAATGGCCTGATTTTAACCCATTTCTCCTCTTCATGAATTGGCAAAAATTTGTGCAGTCCAACATAGTAGCCATGAGCTGTTAAGTAACATGCTATAAATTACAATAAAATAAAATTTCAGTTTCTCAGTCACACAGTCCCATTACAAATCTGTTTAATTGCCACATATGGCTACCATATTGAACAACACAGATATAGAACATTTACATCATCTAAGAAAATTCTATTCATAAATATAGAGACTTGTTTCATCTGATTTGAAAAGAAAATGGGGCCTGTATAGCCTTCAGAGCAGCACACTGTGAATTACTACACATGTCAGCACCAGCGTCCCCATAGAGAGACTGAAAGATCTCTGATAATTTCTAGTCAGCTTACTGACTGCTGCCAGAATGAGAATGTCAAGGCACAAGGAAAAGGCAAGCAAAGAAGTAAAGAAAAGGAAGCAAGAGAAAGCAAAGCTGGGCAGACCGGAGATGAAGCTTCAACGAGCATTTAGGAGCCTGGGTTCTATGCCAAAGATTTTTTTTTTATTTAAATTTCATCGTTGGTAATGAGATCATGTAGATGAAGTCTCTTCACTATTTTGGACCTTGGTATTCTCCCCTGCAACACAAACTTAAAAGAAATGATTACTCAAAAGCTGTGTGTATGGACACACACCAGGGAGAGTGGGGAATAAGGGTAAAAAGAAAACAAGCTACTTCAGTATGCAAAATAGTTGCATAGTGGAACCTGGCACACCAGCACACCAGTCAGCTTGCCACAGCCCTATTTCTGAGGATATCTGATGCCATCAAAGAAAAAAAAAGATGCACTTCTGCCCAAAGAAAATTTATTAAATAATAACACACCTAAACACACACACACACACACACACACACACACACACACACGCTGGTTAGCACTAGGGCCAAATATATGGGAAAACTGCAAGATACTCAAAACTTTAGGTTTAAAGACTAGTTCACTAACATGCAATAACTGAAGTGGCCCAGTACTCAAACACTAGTGTGTTAGCATGTTACTAAGATTATGAATATTACGAGTTATAAATATCATATACAAAGTATAAATACGGCATAACCAAAAGTACACTTCATTTCTTCCACAAAGAATATAAATAGATGCTACAAGTATCTGGAAATACAAGATACCAATTTTGCCCAACCTAATTTCTCTCAAAACCATACTTGGCCCCATGTTTTCTATGTGAAACACCTTTAAGGAGTGCTGGAATCGCAGAGGTTCTCAGACAGTGCTATGGCAGAATGAAATATAACTAGAATCTGCATCTACATCCTACTCCACGCTTCCTTCTCTTCAGAGAAATGGTTGGTCTACTTCCTACGATTCAAAGGACGATTAAAAAACCTTCCTTCCTCGGACCAATCGTATACCATACTAAGAACTAAAAAGGCTAGTATCAATTTTTCTTTTAGCTATTTTTACCTCGTCTAGCTGATAGAGAAACACCATAAATGATTTTTTAACATCGTCGATGCTAAGGCAACCAGTGAGTTGTGTAACCTCTTTGAGAATATAAACTCAGAGCCCAGAATCAAACCTATGAATATTTTGGTGCCGGGGATGAGAAAAACTAAAGATTTCCAAGAAAGAAAACAAGAAGGGACTTTCAGTGACAAGCTTTTACTTCAGCAAGGCTGGTTTTTAGTACCCCACCTACTAATCCGATGCCAAGCACCGCGCGGCGCGGAAACCCTGCCGAATTTGAAAATAAACGTTGCAAAGGCTCCGGGGGACTGCAAACAGGGATGGAAACTGACAGCTTGGCCTCGGAGAGAAGCCTCAAGTAGGTCAAACTGTGGCAACCGTCTGCAATCCGGAGTCCACTTCAGTGGGCTCAGGGGAGTAGAGCGGCGTCTTTCAGTCCTAAAGGGGCGGGATATAGGCACTGAGACCGAGAGCCCGAGCCCCGGCGGTTCGCCTGCTCTCACCTCTCTTGGGGGCCTTGATCAGAGGCACCCCTCCGCTCCTCTCGCCGTTTTCCTGCTTGTCCTTGTGCTTGAGATCGCCCGGAACGCAGGCGCCGGGGTCACCATCGGAGCCGCGGTGGTGATGGTGCTTGTGCCGCTCCTTGTGGCCCTTATGCTTGGGCCCAGCCGCGCTCACCGTCAGGGGCGAGAAGGTGAAGAGGGCCGAGGTGCCGGAGGCCGGGAGCGGGGCAGCGACAGCGGGCCCGGCGGGCGCCAGCGACGGTGGCGGCGGAGGTGGCAAGAGCAGAGGCTCAACGGGGCCCGGGACGGTTGGGGCGGCATTCGTTGATGGCAGCGGCCCGGGATGTTGGCGGCTGCGACGCCGCCGATGAGGGGGAGCAAGAGGGGGGTCCTGGCTCGGCCGCCCCCGCTTCTCCTGAGAACCCCCGCTGCTAGCCCGACGTTGCCGCTTCACTCCCCGCGGCGAGACCCCAACATGGGGTTTCTCCTTCCCTTCTTTGTCCGGCTCCTCCTGCGCCGCCACCGCCCGTACTAAGCGAACCGCTCCGACCTGCGCAGCCATTTCACCCACAAACACACATTTAAATGGCCCGACCGCCCCCCCGTCCGCGGTTCGCGCAAGCGCCGCCCGCGCAGGGCCCGCTGGGCATTGGAGTCTCTCCCCCGCCCTCCGCAGATCCGTCCTTCTCATAGAGCTGAACAGGCCGGAAACGGCAGTTCCGGCACCTCTCCACAGACCTTGCCAACCGAGCTTCTATTGTAAAGCGCCCTGGACGCGCAAGGCCTGGCGGGAGTTGTAGTTCCACCGCCCGCCGCGTACCCCGCTCTCTGAGTGGAGGAGAAGAGAGGGAGCGTGCGCCCTAGCACGCTTCGGGGTGCGACGCAACTGCCGCCGGTCGGCGAGTTGCCGCCAACCGCCCTAACGGCCCAAACAATGTTAATAGCTTTCAGAGTCTGGCGGGACGTTCAGACGATCCTCTTCGCGTGTTCCTTCATCCCACCCGGAGTAGGTGGTCTCCATAGTGACTTTTCAATTTCGTATTTCTCTCGTAGCCTTTGTGAGGTAAAAGAATCTCCAGCTTTTACCCTTGACCGGCGACGAGAAAAAAAGAATTTCGGAATATGTAAAATGACGGTTGTGCTGTAACGTGTGGCTGGACTTGCTATTCAGCAAAAAGAAAAGCGTTTTCAGCGGCATTGCTGTGGTTACAGCTACAGGCTTAGGCAGGTCATTCCCACCTTGCCAGAGTCACATTTCCCTCTATGCTTGGAAAGGTAGAAGCCAGCATTTATGTTGGACACATAACTATAGTTTACGAAAAATTCTCCATAGAAATTGTTTTAAATCTTTAATTTTTTTCAAGCCATAAATATAAATTTGCCAATGCGAAAAACGTTGTCAACCTGACACTTAAAAAATCGTCCCTATTCGTCAGGAGATAGTGTTTACTCAAAAATTCAATTAATAATTGGCTACAATGGTATACTAAGCATATAAAAAGCACTATGGTTTAACACCACTAGGTCTCAGAGAAGTAACTTAGGCTGAGTGAACTGCAATAAAAGTTATAGTTTAAAACAGAATTCTTGAACACATTCTGGGTATACATTGTTCTACAATAAGTAAATAACAGTACCTTTAAGTTTGCCCTAGCATTGTATTAAAACACTAACACTGTTGCTAGGTTGTACTTTCTTAAGAAAAATATCAAATTGATAGGGAAAGTAAAGAGAATCCTTTAAAATAATAAAGATCCATTAACATATTGTGTAAAACTAGATTTGAAATTCATTTAGGACAATCCATAGTTATACAGAAATACATTTTCAAACTACTGGTATCTTTAAAAGGTTATAAATTGCACACATGTATATAGGGCCTTTTCTATGAAGAAAACACCAAAAAAGAAAAAATAATTTTAAAGTACTACCAAAAAGTAACTGCTGTTGATGACTTTTCTAGAATTGGTAAACAAATAACTGGTTAAAATTTGTGTGGAATATAGTTGACCATTTTTATAGCAATATAAAAATGACCATTGGTATTATTTCTATTTTATTCTCTTTAATATTTCTTTTCCTCCTTTTATACAACATTTGAGAAGACAGGGGAGGTATACTCCATTTAGAAAAAAATAACACCCTGGGAGCAGTCATTGCCATGAGCAGTAATTCTGTACTGCAAACACAAGGCAAGGGGTTTTTGTTTTGTTTTGCTTTGCTTTGTTTTTTGTTTGTGGGTTTGGTTTGGTTTGGTTTTGTGGTTTTAAAAGACAGGGTTTCTCTGTATTATTTTGGAGGCTGTCCTGGGAACAGCTCTGTAGACCAGGCTGGTCTCAAACTCACAGAGATCTGCCTGCCTTTGCCTCCTGAGTGCTGGGATTAAAGGCGTGCAACACCAACGCCCAGCTTTGCTTTGTTTTTAAAATAAAGCCTTTAGACAGTCGTGATGAAGCACACCTATATTGTCAGCATTTTGCAGGTTGAAGTAAGAGGATCAGTAGTGTGAGGGCAGCCAGGGGCTGCATAGCAAGACCTTGTCAATTAAAAAAAAAAAGTTTAATATTAAGGCAATGTTGGATTTTAGTTGAAGGGTTGGAGAGATGGCCCAGATGGTTAAGAGCACAAAAGCTTTGCAAGGACCCTGGTTCGGTTCCCAGAACCCACATAGCAACTCACAACAATCTACAATTCCAATTCAAGGGGATCCCTCTCCCTTTTCTGTCCTCAGTGTGCACTAAACATAGGTGGTATATAAAATATTTTAAAGAGAAATTTAGTTAAGATCAAATTCTTACAAGCCTATTGAAATAAATGTTTATGCTGGGCTTGATTGCGTGCCTTTAATCCCAGCCCTCCAGAGGCGTATGGCAGGAGGATCACTGAAAAGATTCAAGACCAAATAAAAAGACATCATCTCAAACCAAAACTTTATATTTACAGAGAAAGTAAAATGAGGGACTGGTTAAGGCCACTGGATGCTCTCTCAAAAGACCCAGGTTCAAGGCTCAGCACCCACATGGCAGTTCATAACTGCCTATAACTACAGTTTTAGGGGATCTGACAGCCTCGCACAGACATTCATGCAGGCAAAACATGAATGTACATAAAATAAATTATAAAAATAAAAAGTAAAATAGAATAACTTATAAAAATGAAAAATAAATCCACTTTGAAAAATAAGCTCAAGTGACAAACTTTATTGGCGGTTTCCAACTAAATGTAAAGAATATGAAATCCAAGATTGTTCAACATTTTTCACATATAGCTTCCCTTTTGAAAGCTATGGACACAATATACATTGTTGATATTATTATTATTATTATAACAGTATTCTAGTAGTTTTATTTGGAAGCACATATGCAGCCAATATTCTTATAACTCCATCAGTGTATTAAATATTCCAAGTTGATGGTGGGTTCCTTGGTCCTTTGGGTTTTGAAAAACGATTTCCAAAGCCTGAAGACAAAAATAAAACTGAATGAAAACAAGAAATAAATACTTGGATTTTAAAATACAACATTGAAAAAGTTAAGCACAATTTAGTAATAGACTATAAATGTATTATCGTAATTAAAGTTTAAATGAAATAGAATACTATTTTTGCTGTATTGGAGATCAAACCAATGGCCTTGTGTATGCTAAGGCAAGTATTCTGCCACTGGGCCTTACCTCCAAACTAAATATTGTTAATATTTAAATTTAGACCACTTACAAATTAACTAATGGTAATAATTGTATGAAGAACCATGAGTATAGTAGCCTTCAATAACTGAGTATGTAACACCATTTATCTGTTTTATTCATTCATCACTGATAGCAAAACAAATTTCACTTATGTAAAATTAAGCACTATTATTTATGTGCGATTATTAAATCTAGTTCTTTATGTAGCCACTGAAATATTGTTTCAAATATAAAATAACCCTGAAAGAAATGATTATTAAGTAAGTTTTAATTACTTTTCTTCCTGAAATGCAACTCCCTTGCCTCCACAACAAAAGAAAAATTTCACATAAAATAAAGGCCATTACTAGGTGCTTTCAGAAAGAATTTCAGGCTGATGACATTTATTCTTTGTCACTAGCAATATATGTCTTTTTCTTTGATTGTGGTAGAGTTTCAAAGCATCTTACACATAGCAACTTTAGTGACTTACATTGAAAAATAGAAAGCAGAAAATGAAAAACTCAAAGATATTCCTAATACTTAAATTTCATCACCTTTCCTGGTAACTGTTTACATATATGACTAAATTTAAATCTGAAAACAAAACTAGAGTAGGCCAACTATAGTGGCAACTGCCTGTAATTCAAGCACACAAGAGGTTAAGATAGGAGGTTCACAGTTTCAAGGTCAGCCCGGCATAACATAGCAAGGTGCATGCACACACACACACACACACACACACACACACACACACACACACACACACACACCTCCCTCTATGCCAGAGCTGAAAAAAACCTTTGATATTTATTAATAACTAGTGGTTTTAGTTGGGAGAGGTGTACAGAGCCTATTTCATATGCATTTTACTCGACTGATAATAAAGAGAAGGAATAATATTGAAATTAAATAGTTACACATCAAAACCACCTCAGCACAGGCACTGTAACTAGAGCCCAGTGCACTGAGAAGAGGGGTGAGGACATGATATGTGACTACTTAGAACAACTAAAATTTCAGATGCCCTATATTTGATCTGATCCACTAGCCAATTCTTAATACTTTGGAATAGCTTTACACTACTATTTTCTGCATATGGGTCAATTCAAGAAAAGTAAACCTGAAACACATGCTGTTTTTTTTTCCAACATAGGAAAAAAATTGAATTAGAATTTCCTTATGCAAGCCCAGCCCGGCCCCAAAGTCATGATCCTTCTGTGTTGGCATTCACTGTGCTGGGATAACAGCTGTGCATCATCAGAGCAACTTAAATATTTGCAAGTAACACACTCTTACAATCTATATTGCCACGATTAAAGGGAACAATGACATGTAAGCAGTACTTTCAAGTACACAAACTGTTGAAATCTAGGCATGTTTGAGAAGAAGCAACATGTATGCAGCTAAGATTTTATTCCAGAGCCACAGCAATGTAAAGTCAGCTGGTCCGTTCATCACTCGGGTAATTTAGAGAGAAAAAAAGGAAACAGAGAACTTTTGTAAGTGAGGCAAAGTTGCATTTTTTCACAGTTCAGACAATGTTCCACATGAATGTTTTCAGATAAATTTCATACAAATCTTAACTTTTAAATTGTAACAATTGAAGCATTGAGTTAATGAATTGTAAACCAAATTTAATAGCTAAAGAAATAGAGCATTTCTAATATATATTTTCTCAAATGAGACAAGGGTTGCTCTCTCATTTTCTGCTCTTCCTCCAAAATAAAATTGTATTTGGGCAATTGTATGTCTGCCTAGAAGTATTACACTTTCTGATGTTCCTATAATTTTTTAAATTTATTTTGTGTGTATTGGTGTTTTGCCTCTGTCTGTGTGCTATGTGCTTGCAGTGCCTACAGAGGCCTGCAGGGGGCATCCGCTCCTCTGGAACTGGAGTCTGAGACAGTTGTCAACCACTATAAGAGTGCTTAGAATTGAACCTGAATCCTCTGGAAGTATCTAGTAATCTTAATCACTGAGCCATCTCTCCAGCCCCAATTTGTATACATGTTTAACTCTGCTATAAAATAATACACATACCAAAATTCAGAAAGCTGGAATTTTTTGGCTGAACACATTCTGCAGGCTTGCTTGATGGAGAAGAATTACAAACACCTGTAATCAGAAGAAAACTGTGTTGGGTAAAGAATAACAACAGATTTAGATTACCATTTATTTGCTTGCATGATTATTGAAATTAAAAATTTCCTCCCAAACAATACTCCAAAATAAATATGTCAGCATCATACTGAGCATGTTTAAAATGGTTGAAATTATATTTTTGTATTATAATAATGATAGGGAAGGTTCAGCCTGTAGGCCTGAACTCACTGTGTATC